AACATACCGTAAATATGAGCCGTCGATCAAATGCAAATTTCAACAAGCGCAGCACCTAAAGTTGCGCGATGTAAACATCAATAGAATTCTTTAACTGCGAAGCTCTTCTAACATCAATAAGCATAGTTTATTCTATTCATAGATGTTGAAACAAACCTTAGCGCCATCTGAGGTTCCTGGTACATACGCTCTCCGATCAGTTCCTCTGTACGGTTTGCCTGGCCTTATATGACTTGCCTAGAAATTGAAATCGAAATTCGAATCCATCAGTTACTGTGCAAAGCGTGATGCACATACATCTTGGATCCCACTTGGAACGCTGTACGAAATTTCGTAGACAAAATCGCACTCTTCATAACCTGAACAGAAAGTGAAGAACCCGAAAAAGATATTCGTTATGCTCTGTTCCATTGTGTGGAGGGGTTGACAAATGAAAGACAAACGATGCTATAGCTGCTTCATTCAAATATTAGACTACGCAAACGTTAAATACAATTCCTATAACATGGTCATGAACTTATGCTGCGAGCCCAAACGGCAAGCATGGAAACTACAGCGTAATGATATGGCTTAGAAGCTCAACAATATTTCACTGAAGTCGCAACATTGTGTAATGTGAAAGCAGGGGCTTCGCAATTAGAAAATGTTTTTTCATGAATAGGAGTCAAGTAAAAATAAATGAAGTAGTACAAACCTGGTAGTTTAATATTCTTGAGCTTTCTTATATGCATTTGCGCGTCAGCAGGTTGATTCCCTAATGGTAGCTCAAAGTATCGGAGGCACACAGGGCACCTCTTCTTAGAGCTTGGGCTGTTCAAATACTCCTAAAATGAACAAAACTTAGTGGCAAAAAAGAATCAAACTGCAATGGTAAGGTCAGCAGTAACTTAGACCGCTGTATCTAGGCAGTGCACAGCAAAAATTCAAAATGATTTCCATTCAACAGCCCAGTACTGCTGCGAACAGTGTGTTACTATCCTAGTTTTCTCCTGTTGTGTAATTGCCAAGAATTATGCCATTGACAACGCATGAAAATGAAGGCAGAGTTGAAAGTATAATAATGATGCCATTACCTTTAAACAAGGGATGTGGAACTGATGCTTACATGGCAGCTCACGTACTTCTTCACTTC